ATGCCTTTTTGTGGAATGATTTCATTAGTGGAAGAGTCTTCCGGACAGCGGAACCGCCTAACTGGTCATCTATATAGAATTTTGGGAATGTGTGGCATCCGTGTTTGTTTTGCTGTGGGTTGTGGTGGAGAAGAACAGATTCATCATATGAGATGCTGAACAATGCTGTTTTTCATGTGTCTCTGCCCTGGTGTGTGATTGCTTGTGACAGGTTTACATTACTACATTACCTAAGCCTTGACAGGGATGTTGTTTTCAAGGAATTCAAATGTTAGGCTATGATTCAGTTAACTAGTTTATTATACCACCACAAGAATGAAGAATATACCTTTCAAGTCAATTTTGAGGTTAATTGCCATTTTTGCAGAGCAATAGAAAAAAAAAATAGTTTCTTCAAGACAACATTTAACAAACATCCGAGCAGCACTGAATGTCCCACAACATAAAACAGCTACAAACTAAAAAAAAGATGGTATTTTCATAATACGACAGTATTTACACAGTGGATTTACACAATATACAGTAACATATATGGTATTCATCACCATAACATAATCTTAACTAGTTGGGAGAAACAAATTATATTACTGTATAATTGCTGTACTGTAAAGTAATTCAATATATGAATGGACAGCCTCTAATCTTCTCTGTTTTAAAAAAAAATGCTTTTTATCACGATACTTTTAAAATAACCTTTAAGTTTTTTAAATATAATTTTGTTTTAATATTAAATTTTTTGTTTAAAATAATATTACTTTTTAATTATTAAAAGTTGTGTTTTTAGCCTATTTTTCTTTTAACTAAGTTGCCAAACATTATAAAAGGTTTAGAGTAGAGTTAAAGGCGCCTGAGCTAAACACGCAGTAGGAAATGATAACCTTGAGTTTTAAATAAATGAAACGGAATTGTGGATGATACAAATATAAATTGCTTGAAAATGTTCTCAAGTACTGAAAAAAAGAGTGAGGCATGTGCCATTATGTAAGAGTCATTTCATAATCAAAATCATGAGTCATTTGCATTTTATGGTGAATCATGCTGCGGTCTCGTGGTTGTCTGATTTTTGATTTGCAAATAAAAATAATACCACATTAATATTATGTGCCCAAAAGCCAGTTGAAGCAAAATCTGTAAATGAAGGGATTTTTTTTTTATCATTATAATTTATAAAGTAGGCTAAATTGCCTATTAACTAAAATATTTAAGTTGGAGGTAATTGCAGCATTTTCTTTAAAAACAAAACAAAACAAAAACTGTGGATTTCCTCCCAATTTCTTTTATTTAGATGATTTGTAAAAGAACAAAAGACAATGATTTGTAAAAGAACATGTTATGTTAGTTTTTGAATTGCACAGTCACTAACAATCAGCATGTGTTGCACCTTATTTGCATGCAAGGTGCCTTCTCATCAACTGGAGTGACGTATTCTGCTATGAGTGCACTTCCCACAGTTATGACCTTTAGTCCTGAAGATAATGGTCAAGTGGTCAGTTTAAATGCGCATGCCTAATAGATGTAGAAATAGATTTGTTGTTCTTCACTGTTGCTTTCCGGCTGCAACAATGAACAAAGAGCAGCCCACGGTATTGTTTTGCCAGTACTTTTCCACTGCCAGTAGTAGCAGCACCAACCTCAGGAGGAAATACAGAGCAAGAATAAAGGGCACAGTAACATTAACTAAACAGAGGAGCAAATAAATAGGTGTCTTCACAGAATTGCTCTGTATCTGATGAGATGCTGTTAAACACTGAATAGGTAAAATAATGCCTATTAAATTGATGCTTTCAGACTTCCCTTTGCATGTTACACTGCCTTCTGCATTTGCTCTCATCAATCATAAAGTCTCAATATGTCAGCCATAATACTAAGTTTCTGAGGACACTTTTTAAAATATTGCTCATTGATAAATAGTAAGTCCAAACTTAAACCTCTTTATCAATGCTGAACTCAAGGTTATCCCTTTGATTAGACATGAATCCTCTCATACAGGTCAAATGGAAAGCCACAGAATCTACCAAATTATGGCCAAGTATTTTGGCCATAGTCAAAACAGAGTTTCTCACTCATGGATTCTTGGAACATTGTCCTTGTTTTTTTTTTCTCAGAAAGCATCATCAAATCCAGTAGTGACACACCCTAATAACGGCCTGCAGGGCTTTACCAAACATATAGTGCGAGGAGGAAGTTAGGGCAAAACAATTATTCACCTACGCATTTTCAACCTCAAGTCACTCAGTCACCTCCATTCCTAACATAAATCTAAATGGAAAAATACTGTGCAGATACAAACTGCCATGCAGTAGAGAGAGAGAGAGAGAGAGAGAGAGAGAGAGAGAAGGGAAACAAGGACAAGCGAAGATGCAGTGAGTGTTTAAGGGAAGGTGTAGCATTTCTGTGGCACTGCAAAACACTTTATCCTTTACAATGCACTTGTTAATTTAAAGCAATGCCTAATCTGAAATCTTTTATACTCTTTCAAAGGCATGTATTACATGTAATTGAAGCAGACTAATGTCTATATACAGCAGTTCTGCAAATGTCAAATAGCCTACTGCGTGACTTTACATCTAACGTGTAATAATATTTGTCACAAGCTATGTTTCCAACCAAAGTTGTGAATTTAACTTATGCACAAAATTGGAATATTGCATAAAACATTTGCGAATAAAGCAAACATTTACATCCAATGAGTCAGGGAACAACGAATCAAAACGCCTCTGATTGGACATTGCATTCCTAAACTCAACAGAAACGTGTGTGATTGGTTATAATGCTCAACATTGCAAACTATGCATAAGAGAAAATGACTTTAAATATTAGGCCTATGTATCACAAACAAATCCTCTGTAAATGTAATTCCACGATCTTCATATTTAGGTAAGGTATTATGGGTAGGCTACTTTCTTTGAACCAGGTCAGAAGACACAGGGTCTTGGGATCCCAGACAAATGAAAGCTTTCATACAATACCAGTGATACCAGCCTTTGCCACTGACACATTTAATCAAAAAAATATAACAAAATGACATTTACAACAAACCCGTATTATTAAATTATTAGACAGTATACACGGGTTTCCTGCTTACAAACACAGGGTGCGTGCGCATACCAGAGGCAGAAAGCCAGATTGGTGAGCTGGTCCGCTACTGCAACAACCTTAAGTATTGAAGCTTTCCTTATTGTTTGTATTGTTTGTATATAACTATACTGACTCAATAAAACATGATTTTAGTTGGATCTGGATCTGTGCTAGTAATGTAATAGCCAATGTTAGCAGTGCAGCATCTACTGGACAGCCCGAATTTGTTTTTATATAAGTTATGTTACGCTTGTTTATGTTACAGACACCACCACTATGCTACTCATAGACAGTAAAAGAAATGGACACAGTGACCCCATAGATTTCAACGGAGAAAAGTAAAGTGAATTAGAAGCACTCACTTCCTGATGGCAGAGCGCACTGCGCAGGCTCAAACTGAGCTTGACGACGTAGATGTGACGTGAGCAACCTGTCTGACAGTAGTACGTCTTCTAGTAGCTGTGCCAAGAGGAATCTGAATCATTCCCTTCCGAATCTTGCAGCGAGGAGAGCGTGAGTAGGAGCTGTCCAGCTAGCAGCAGGAGCAACTTTACAACTCTCTATGGGCTTCTCCCTTGACGTTATGCCTTCACGTCCCCCCGATTGCCTGCGAGCTTCTCCTCCTGTCTATACGGTAATTTCTCTACTTTGCGACAGGGAGTCCCGTGGTTATGACGCAATCGTTAGCCTATTTTTACAAAAACGACTTCTACGGGGCCATAACGTAAGATACAAAGTAATGGAGCCTTTTATACATTGTTGTGTTTCTTTAGAAATAAATAATGGACAAATGGAGTCTTTGGACGCCTCAGATGTAAAGTTGTAAAGGTTTGGCAAAATGAATGGGAGTCAATGGAACGCTAACAGCAGGTGATAGTCTGCTACAATGGCGGCCCCCAAGGAAAGTTTCAGTTTCTGCCTCCCGGTTGCGTGCGCAAGAAGTGGTGACGTTGCCGAGAGATCCATGTATGTATAGGCTAGTGTCTGTTTTGTCTGGTGTACAAGGATGTATACATTTGCATTGTTGTTATTATCATGTTATCTACTTGCGTCAGTTGCGTCGCTTCACTGCCATTCACAAATCCTCTCCCGTGGCCTCATGGGATAGTAAAGTGTCCATCGTGTGCACACTTCAGAATCTCGCTGAAGAAGTAGGTCATCCGGGTACTTTTTTCCTTCTCTTTTATGAGTAGCCTACTGTGCTTTCTGATACCTCTTTTGTCAAATAGGCATACTGTTTTTCACCTATTAGGCTACTCAGCCCCCGACTAAGCCCCCACCAATTATTTCAGAACAATCGCGCAAAGTCACATGACTTTTTTGATGTGTATTGAGGAATTTATTCAGTAAATGCTCCATCGTAGTTTATGTGCATGGCTTTATCGGATAAAACAATTATGACTGAATTGAGCGAGTTTTTTTTATTAATTTATGCTTATGGTGTTTTCATCCAGTGTTTTTTTTTTATGCGATATGCAAAAATGTGCATAAAAATATGTGTATGGGAACATATTGTGATGCACCATGTGCATAAGCCTCAAATACTAGAAAATACATTAGTGCAATGGATGATTCTAATTGTATATGTGTTTAATGTGAGTTAGCCTAATTGTCTTCATATTGTAGATAGATTAGCATATTTATGCAGAATATTAGTTTAAGGATAAACAGCAGGACTAAATAACTTTATGTATTATGCTGATGGCAAATTAATGAATGTCATAAAACACAGGATAATCATCTCTACAAGACATTATGGAGCCACAAACAAAACTGTAAAACTGTCATTTTGAAAAGCAGTGTTGTTTGGATTATGAAAGTCAATTGTTTGGAATATAACAGAATAATTAAAGAATAAAAACATGCAAGTAAATGATACAATATATTACAAGATTTAAAGTCAAATAACCAAGCTCACGCAGTTTGTCGTTCTCAAATGAATGATATTTTTATTCATCCACAACTTTTGATAATAAAAGTAGCAAATGTACAAATCATTTGTGTATGTCTGAACAGATCAGAGAGCAATAAACTCCATATGCATCTTTTAAGCTTATGAAACGTTTCACAATGAATCGATGAAGCCAGTTTTATGAAACATAAGGAACGTTAAGAGATGTACACACTCTAAACTAAAGCACAAAAGAAATATCTGGAATCTATACACCATCCAATACAAATGTAAAACAAGATCCATTAAAATCAAATAAATCACAAAACCCTTTTGTTGTCATAAAAGGCCATGTTAAAAAAGTACCTTAGAGGATGACGTTAAATGAAGTAACGTAACAGTCTATTAAAATTCACATTATCAAACAACATAAAAGTGCCTTAAAAAAGAAAGAAAAGAAGATAGAACCTCATAATTTTACTATTAAATACATGGATAAATATTCAAAAGCTTTGGGTGTTGGTTTGAAAATCTGTGGTGTATCCAAAACCAACAATCACTTCCACCCCCCCTAAGCAAGTATAGTAGTTAGTTGGTATGGTATTGCCAGAGATCATATAAGTTTTGGATCAATCAATTAGGCCTCAGATATTCACAACACATAGTAGTTAATTTATTACAGCTTAAGCAATAATATAACTATCACACCACAGTATTGACTTAGTGATTCAGTTAGTGTAAATGCTATGAACCAGAATAAGATGAACTGGTACCTGCAGAGAAATGGTAATCACTTCAGTAAGATTGACAAGGACCATAAGAGTCCAAAACCAAATCAGTAATTTGGGGAAAAGAAGCATAAAAGAACAAGGTCTCTATTGAACTTTATTTTTATTCATGTACCTCTTTTCCAATACAAAGATAGTATCTGTATAAAAATGAATTTAAAAATATACATTTTTATTTTAAAATGTAAAACAATAATCAGCCAATTTAACCCCAGTTTATTTTATTTGGGTATGATAAGGATTTTTGAAAGGCTGATAAAAAAGTAGGAGACACAAAATAAATGTTGCACCTCTTCCTAATATCTCTTTTGGCATAACTCTTCTGAATGAAGACAAAATAATTTTGTTGCACCTTTGGGATAAATTTTCATTAAAATTATGGACTTGAATGTCAAAGTATAAATACAACATTGCGAGCTTGCACTTAAAAAAAAAAACGTTACATCTGTTTACAAAATCCCTCACGCCCATTTCATTTTCATTAAGGCCATCCACCAGTTCCCATTTGTCTGAACAAATAGAGCATTCAACAGCAGATCAACAACAGGTAACGCCTGTTACTGCAGCCATACTCAAATTCTTCTTCTAGAAGAACAAGATATTATTTTTGCGCAGCAATCAAAATTGGACATCCCAGTCGAAATAACCTGTTTTGGGATATCATAATATCAGATTACAACATGAATGACAGTGTTCTCTGAGTCTTTCCTGTGGTGGTTCTGAGGGTCATTCAGTAACATCCACATGACCAGACTGTGTTTGTTTTGGAGCGATAACATCTTGGGAGTCTTTTGCACATTAACTATGTCATATTCCCAACATGAAGATAAAGCAGGGTTTTTACAGCTTATGCTCTGCACAAAAGGCATTTTGGTGTTTTTTAAAGTAGCTCTAAATACAAAGAAATGAAAGTACTCAGAAATACACCAAATTACATACAGAGTTACAGTTACAATTTACATTAAGGGACCTAAATAGTCTTACTCGTATTTGGGAATGTACAGCAAGGTACCAGGTTTAATCAGACGGCACAACACCTTAGTGATATGGCATCTTTCTATGCAAAATATTTTTTTTTTAAATAAAATCTTTGAATCTTGTGATAAATTTCCCACCTTTTTTTCACTTAAAATTAATAATTTTCACAATTTCCATTTCACATAAAACTTTGGAAATATTACACACCAGTTACACGAGTGACAAAATTAAGGCAAAATTCACCAAGAAGAAAAACAGTAAATCCTACAGTTGCTTAACTTGACCAACCATAAACGACCAAATGCATTATTGAAACAGTAGCTTTTGTATAATCAACATACCACAAGGAAGAGTTTAAATATTTCAAGGGTGTGTGACACAGAGCCGGGGAGAAACAATAAATAACTTCTATCAGAATTATTCAAAATGTTTAGAGTCCCTAAAAGACTCTAGAAAAAGACTTTGTAAAAAAAAAAAAAAAAAAAAAAAAAAAAAAAAAAAAAAAAACACTGTAAATATTACAGACCCTAAATGGCTTATAAAAACAAATAGATCATATAAATGTGCTGTCTTTCAGGTCTTATGATAAGATCAGCACATTACAAGGAGAAGTACACAAACATGAAAACACCCAGTGAACAAACCAATACAAGGCCTAAGTTAAGTAACAGCTTGATCTTAGGGGGTTCATAAAGCATTTCACGAACAACTCCTTCATCTTCTTCAATGACTTTGGGTTCGACAACAGACATTTTCTCCTTTTGACAAATCCAGTCAAATATTTGAGGGCAGCTCTCTTCATCACGCTTGCCTTCATCCTTCCGTTTCACAAGCTTTACATGACCATTGCCGTACAGCTCCATTGGTGTGGATGCCTCTGTGCTGGGGGTCTCGGGATCTTGGTCACAAGGCGAGGGCATAAGAAGTTTCATGTCAGCCCCATCAAGACATCTCTCCTTCTGGACATCCTCAGGCACATCCTTCTTGAGAACACCATTGCCATTAGTGAGTTTGTACATCTCTTCTCGTTCAGTCACAGGAAGCCGTTTAAGTTCTCTCAAGCCCCAGATTGTGGTACGCTTGATCTTCTCCACTTCTGGAGGTGGCGTGCACAGACTGACACCCACAGCCACCAGCCCGGAAATCCAAAACAGCCCGGCAGCAATGTACATGTATTGGACATGAGTAATGAAAGCTGGACGCTCATCAGGCTGGTCACATCTTGGCTCACGATATACAAAGCCAAGTAAGAGGCGGGTGGTGCCTAGCACAAACCCAGTCATACCGCCCCAAAATGCGCCGGTCTCATTGCAACGTTTCCAGAAGACTCCGAGTAAAAACAGGGCAGCAATGGGAGGTGTGAGGTATCCTGCAATTTCCTGGATGTACAGGTACATCTGGCCACCTTGCATCTCAATAATGACAGGCACCCAAGCGATGCTGATAGTCACCATGAAGATCACAAACAACCTGCCGACCACCACCAGCTCACGGGAGGATGCACGTATACGCAGCATTTTATAAATGTCCAATGTGAAGATGGTGCTAGCGCTGTTAAAAATCGAGTCCAGGTCGCTCATGAGGGCAGCGATCATCACAGCCATCATCAACCCTCGGAGACCCACCGGCATCACGTTCATGACCAACCGAGGGTAGGCGATGTTGGAACAGCCAGCTTGACTGCCACAAACAGCCATGCAGTGCTCTGGTCCGATGCACGCCAGCTCATCTGGGAACAATATTCGTGAGATCATTCCTGGAATAACGATGATAAACATGGGAAGGACCTTAAGAATTCCTGCCATAAGTGTGGAGCCTTTAGCATGGACAATATTCTTGGCAGCTAATACTCTCTGGACGATGACTTGGTCTGCACACCAGTACCAAATGGATGAGGGTGTCTGACCCAACAGGAAGCCTGGCCAAGGGATGTCCTCATCAAGCGGTCCTCGTAGGAGCTTAAGAGAATCTGGCTTGGGATGGATTCGGCAGGAGTTTGTGTACTGGAAGCTGAAGTTGCTGTTAGCCAGGATGGCTGTGACGTTGGGGACTGCTTCCATGTATTTTTCCCGCACCCCTTCCAAACCGCCTACCTTGACCAGACTGATTATGGTAAGGGTCAAAGCACCGCCAATCATGAGCACAGCCTGTAGAGTGTCCGTGTAGATCACAGCAACCAGTCCACCGGTCACTGTCAGGAAGGCAGTCATAGTGATAAGCAAGATGATTGACAGGTATAGATTCCAGCCAAGAGACTCCTGAATGAAAAGAGCTCCTGCGTACAAGTCCACTGAGAGTTTAGTAAAGACATACAGAAGAAGTGAGAGGGCAGCAAAGTAAATCTTTAGCCGCTTGCCTCCGTAGCGCTTGGAGAGGTACTCTGGCATGGTGTAAACTCCACAGTGGATGTAGACAGGGATGAACACCCAGCCGAGCAGCTGCAGAAGAAGGAGGGCATTGAACTCCCAGGCGCCCACTGCAAAACCACTTGCTGCACCAGAACCAGCGAGACCAATGAAATGCTCGCTGCCGATGTTGCTGACAAAGAGTGAGGCACCTATCACCACCCAGTTCATATTTCGACCTGCCAGAAAGTAGCCACTGACAGTGCTATGGTTGGACTTCCACATGGCAAGCAGACCAATTACAAGCAAAAGTACAAAATAAAGTGCAACAACTGCAATATCCGCCGCCTCCATCATGGGTCCTGTTTGTATCATGTTTAAGTTACTATCACAGTTCAAAATGCAATTGTCTGAAAAAAATAGGTCTATTTGAGTAAAGATGCAAGCAAATGCACATAAAATCTCTTATTCATTTGGTTTGCTGTCTTTCTAGAAGGAAACGGAAGCATCCGCCATCTGTCAGATGAATTTCTATCTGGTTTGTGTTTGGTTTATATTTGATTGGTAATCCAACGGTGCTCTCATGAAGCACAAGAGTTATTTTGGGGAGGATGTCTCTGGCTTCTGGTCTAGAAATGGCAAGAGTTTACATTCCTGCAAGACAGCAAACACAGAAAGAAAGAGACATGGCATGCATTAGATCAAGTGTGTAGATCATTCATTATTACTATGCACTGACTTTACCACAAAACGGGAAAATAACATTTTGATAAAGATTTTTTGATAACATTGTTACAGTTGTTATTTTGTTGAACAAATATACATAGACAATATACATACATTTATGCCCAGTTTCACGGACAAGGCATAAGCCTAGTCTCAGACTAAAATTGATGTTTGAACTCTTAGTACCATTATTTTGCCTCAAGATGCACACAGTAAGGCAGTAATCTTTATTTTTCTAAGGCACGTTAATAAAAGCTATTTAAATGTCCTAATTTAACTAAGGCCTACTTTTTGCTTAATCTAAGCCCTATCTGTGAAACCAGGCCATTATTAATTTATCGGTATTGGACAATATTGGATATTTAATTGCACATGCTCATTTCACCATTTTTACATTTACAGTAGATTAACTTTGCCTCACTTAATATTTAAAAAACGAACACTGTTAAATGCAATCCAGTGAATTTCAAAATTAATATTTTTCATACAGTACATTATAATGTGGAGTAGCATTTAAAATTATTGCAATCAGTTCATAGTGTTTTTCTTATTTATTTAAACAAAATAGTATGGAATTTTGTTATTAGCTAATTTATCAGTTGTCAGCCATAACATGAAAATAATTATCAGCATATCACAGTCAGGATTTTAATATCAGTGTGTCCCTAAAATAAATTAATAACAGCAATAAAAAAAACAAAGACACCGTTTAATAAAGTCTCCATTTTCCAATAGGGTGATCAACAATGATAAAACAAGCAAACCATCATCATTATAATCTAAAAGTCGCAATTTTTTTTAATTTTTTTTTTTTTTCGTCCATTTTTATTTCGTCCGCAGTTTTTCCTCTTTGTCGCCATCTCTGTTCGAAATCTGCAATTGCAGTCATTTGCGGAATTATCAACTTTACGTAAGTTGTACTTCGACACGGCACAGCGTGGATGAACACAATGTTTGAGGAGACTGAGGCGGTCAGTCACCGTGCCGGTGTGGATACTAGCATTCAGAATCACAGATTATTCTTTTTGGAAGTATGACCAACATAATAATTTTCACCGGAAAATGTCACCACCTTTCTGGATCCGCCATCAAATTGATAAGTTTAATTATATCAGAGAAAAGGCTATAAATCTCCACCTCCAGCATCCTTACACGCAATATAGCCTACTAGCCGAGACTCCTTCTTTATGTGTACAGATGTGACGTAATGACGCAAAGACATGCTCGAATCTCCCGCGGAAATCCACCAGTACCACTGGGATTAAAAACATTATTACAAGCTTACCGCTTTGAATCCAGCTAAGGCAAGCAGATAGTTTTGAACACTGGCTGGTTATGTATTTTCTCAAATATGTATTTTGGATAATTTTTAACCCAAAAAAAGCTACGGACTGCAGCTTTAAGGAACGTCAATAAGAGTGACTACTGCCGCCTGTTGGTATTTCGAAGAAATTTCTTTTCTTACCCATATGCAACCCTTGCCAAACAAAACTGCTCTGACTGTTGCCCCTCTCACTATAGCGGTCTTCATTTTTCCCAATCTTGGTTAAAGACACACGATGAAAAAAAAAAACAAGTCCGCCACCACTCCTTACTTTACTTTTCATAGCCCAGGCTTTTTATAAACCAGGTAAATTATGCCCTACCCTGTCTAAAATTATACACATTAAGAAATGATTACAACAGTACCTTTCATCATGGCCTTATCTTTGTAAAAAAGCACCACCATGACACCATGACTCGGTCACTGTATGACACTAGCCTCGTGAGACCATCCTGATCTCGCGAGCTTTCAAGGTTTCACTCGCAGATCAGTCTGGATACTTTCCGTTAAAGAAAATTTGGGAGCAGTTCACCAAACGAACGTCCAATCAGCGTTGGCTTTGAGGCGGGTTGAGGTGTGACGCAACGAGAAGCGCGACAGTTCAGTCTAAAGTACATGTCGGCTTCAGCGGATGAAACTAGCATCAGCGTGGCTATCGAGCAAGTTTTATCGGAATTACAGAGTATTTCTTCACTGAAAGAAGAGCAAAACACTGCTCTGGAGGCTTTTCTCAGAGGAAAAGTTACGCTCTGTTAGTACGTCATATGCTTCGTTGATCTGATTGGTTGATTTGGCCCGTCTATCACCAACATAGGCCAATCAGCTAACCAGTATTTTCGCCCCTTACCAAAACTACTTCAACGGAAGGTTTCCAGATGGATATGCGGAGCAAATCCATCTGGCAGAGTCAGGTTAGTATGACACGACTTGTTGTGATGTTATCAGGTTGCAGATGCACATCAGTGCTATAAATTTAGCATAACTGACAACATATCACAAATGACAAAAATACTGAGTCAATACTGTAAACAGATGCCCTCTGTGCAGGACAGTTAACCTTAATTATTTCATCATTTACTGATCCTCGCATTATTCCAAAATTCGTTTGACTCTCATTCTTAGGTGGAGACAGGCCTGGCGCCAGGACACACGTTTTTGGGGGGCATTTATATTTCTCAGGGGGGCCAGACACTGAAATGAAATCGTGGGGTCCAGTCCATGTTGGCACAGCCTCAGGTATACCCCCCTCCTCTGCCACCAGGCCTGGGTAGAGCACAAAACAGATGGTAGGCAGAATGACAAGTCTCAGCAATGAGAATGGTGACCTTGACTGCCAGTCTGTAACATTGTGCCTAACATCTCTTTTGAGTTCCACATCAGAAAAAGAGTCATAAAAAATTAGTGAATGACGACATCATTTTCATTTTTGGATGAACAATCCCATTAAATCTAACAACAACCAACCAGACTGGGATAATCTCTTTATGGATCCTCTGGTTGGCCAAGAAAAAAAGAAAAGACACAGCATGGAGAGGAGGGGTGGGCAAGGAGGAAAATTTCCACTGCTAGACAATTCACCTCACACCACCTTCAGATGTGCTCTAGTAACCAATGGCAACGACTTATTGATCAAGATATTTAATTAAACGATAATAATAATGACAGTAACACAAAAGAGACCTACACCATTTATTCAAGGATGGGTGACTAAATAAAAAAATTTAAAACAAAGACCTACAACTGCTTATTGACATGTCCTGTTTGGAAAAATTTGATTCATTATGCGTGGAATTTTACTATGTTGCTTAAACACCAACTACAACTCAAACGCTGCGACTCCTGCGAAATTTCTGGAAAGCAGCGTTCGTCGGACGACACTACGACAGAACGATATTTTTTTAGTAAACAACAGTCAGACCAGTTGGATTGCTGGTTCTTTGCTGAAGATTACAATCAACATTTTCAACAAACATTTGTTTTAATAACCCTCCAAACCTGTATGACATTCTTCCAAAAAGCCCCAGTCACATTAATTTTCATAGAATCTAGGCTAAAAAATAAAAGTGAATGGGGACCGAGCTGTCACGCCTCCTTGCTCAATTTTAAATGAACTATCCCTTTAATTCAAGACGTATGCTGCGTCATGTCGTTTGAAAAACAGTACCTTAGAAGATTTAATATTTATCGTGCAGATATTGACTACTAAATTACCGAATTCTTCGAATATGAAGCATTTATACGCCGCTACAAATACAGTCACTTTGCAAGACCTATTCTGTTCGGATCATTGATTCAGTTCACTTCTCAATTCCTGTCTGATAAAATGGTTACACTTGAGATACAACTTACCATTCTTAGGATAGGCTATAGTCTTGAAATAAAGAATTGATTAGCGCGTGTTCCTAGAATGAACGAACAGCTCCAAGCGAGGTGATCCTCTCCATCAGTGTCTGACAGCTTCAACGCAGAAGGGTGCAGGATATGTTCGCTCGCACAAAAGGTCTTTAAAAGTTCAGTAATGGTAGATTTCAGTCCTTTGGAATGAATGGTGCTGCAAACGCGCCTTTTATAAACGTCCATCGACTCCTTTTTTCTTCCGCTCGACCCTTTTACATTTGGTGTGTATGAGTAAACGTGACGTGGCCAAGGAGGTCACTTGCATATTAAGTCACGCCTACTGTAAATTACAAGAGCTATTGTTTCATGACTTTTCACCTCTTGTAGTCCCTTGCTTAATACTGGAAACTGCCAGAAATCCCCCTTCTTTAGCCACGATCAAACCGGCTTCAGGACTAAACGAGACAGTCTTTGGAAGGGCTCATGCTAAGCCTCTTAGGTTTTGCAGTCAAAAGAACAATCTGGAAATGCATCATAAGATTCCTGAGCAGTGGGGTTTACAATGCTCATTAAGAATGTTCTTTACAAAGTTTTTTTTACCTTAGTTTTATATTGCATGTTTTCATTTCATCCAACTGCAATCGATTTTACAGCCTCTTATTAGCTAAAGTAAATTAATTAGCGAATTAGCTATAAGTAAATCGAAGTCTAACATATCCACAGAGTCCCTATCACCCCACAGGTGCACCTGAAGTGTCCACCTACAATTTGAAGCTGAATAAAACACATAAATAAACACACTCGTTGATTATGTTCCATCTTTATCAATATCAGTGATCTGGGTAATTTTGACATGATGTCAAATGCAGCTGTTATGCTCATGAGGAGCTGCACCGGCATATCTTCACACAAAATAAACTAAATTAAATTGCAAACATAAGGTTAAGCTTATATCAGGGTTAAGGTTATATCAGGTTTGGTAAACCTGCATTTTTATTAAGATAATTATAAGATATAATTTGGAGATTTTTACATCAAATAAGTATAGCCTTTATCTTACATTTTAAATAGCTCAAGGCTTTAACTAAAGACGTTTTACACATGTAGATTTATATAAGGTATATTGTTCCAAATAAAAAAAATAGTTGTATTAATATTTAAAGCTGTTTCCAAAGCGGTTTATTTGTTAACTATCCCGAATCCCGTGATCTTTCCGAGTAATTTTCCACTGATATGACTAACTACATTTCCCACAATACATAAGCGCGGCTCTTGCGTATTTCTTCCCGGACTTGCACGCATGCGCAGTGCTTTTGACCTACACAGTCGCAGGAGAAAATGGCAGCGCTTGGACTGGGGCTGCAGGTATGACATTCTAAAAACCTTGTCAGTTGTATGGAAAACCACGAGCTGTTTGGCTTCGTGTAGTTAAATCTATGTGATCTTTTGAAACTGTAAATATTTGACAGGCTTAAGCCAAGATGATTTGTCTGATAACTGAACGAGGCCTTGACAGGCAGTGTCTAATCCGCAACATGTACAGTGATTCAAACCCTGTGCTCTTGTGAGATCTTAATAATCCTTTATAAAGTTAATAATGTTCATTAGCGTCTCGAGTTGTATATTAATTGAATAAATTCATTTAAGAGTTGTGCAAAACTGCAAACTAGAACCTGACGAGTTTCTGCTCCTCACATGCTGAAGCATACAATGCTGAAAATGTGACTGGACATACGTTTTAAAAATTTAAGTTATCATATGATGTAATTTAGTAGGTTTTGAGACGCAATAAATGACAATACTGAAATGAAAAGCATATGTTTATATTTATGACCAGGTCGTGTCATTGAAAGTCTGTTATATTTGTCAAATCTGCATGAAAGTTATTCTGTTTCTCTACAGGTGCGTCAGTTTAGCACCTCTGTGATCCGACCAGTAGCAAAACTTATCAAGGTAAAAAAAAAAAAAAAAAGTTATTTATTTCATACCAGGGCAAAAGGACAAATGCATAATTTTTCCCATACCTATAAAAGTTACCATGGTAACCACAGTTTCACCTAAAATACCTAAACCACGTATTAGCTATCAGTGTCATAAAAGAAAAGAACAAGTACTCTAAAAGTGTCTTACACAGTATACGTGTTGTGTAGAATTTTCAGTTCTGATATTGGTAGTAAATTAATTATGGTGTTTTGGTGAAATAGTGGTGTTGTAATAGTATATTACATTTTGTTATTTAGCTGTTGATTTAACTCCATGGTTTATACTAATGCATTTACTGTATATACCATGATATAGTGCCATAGTAGTTACAGGGGGTTTTTTTTGTTGATAATTTGATAATTCTTACTGTAGTGTTTCTTCAGCCTCCTATCCAGGTCTATGGGGTCGAGGGACGCTATGCTACTGCCCTGTTCTCTGCTGCCAGCAAGCAGAAGAACCTTGATAAGGTTGAACAGGAACTTGGACGTGTGGCTGTGAGTTTCCCTTTAAATTTCTCTCTTTGTTTCTGCTTGCTTTACACAGTGCTTCAATAAGTTCTGGATTTGTCATTTTCCCTCTTCCTAGAGCCTGATTAAGGATCCTAAGCTGTCAGGTATTGTGATGAACCCCCATGTCAAGCGCAGTGTCAAACAGAAGACTTTCGTTGATTTCTTGATCAAGGCAAAACTCTCCCCCATCACCATTAACTTCATCAGTGAGTTTTCTGATCAGCCATTTCATTGATTCACTGAAAATTACTGTTATTTTAATCACATTGTAGAAGTCTGGAAGGGAGTGTCCTATATAGTAAAAAAAGACATGCACATTGAAATTAATATTTGTTGTATTTATAAAATCAAGAACAAAGTGTATTATATATTTGCATTTTTTTCAATTGTTTTGATTTACAGATGTCCTGGCAGAAAATGGCCGCTTGACCTTGACCCCTGATGTCATCACAGCCTTTGGCAAAATGATGAGTGCCCACAGAGGAGAGGTCACATGCTCAGTCACCACTGCTCAGGTAAGCCATGCATAAATGTATGGTTGTTTGCTTGCCTTGTACATATTACTTTTTTCCTTTTTTTTTAACCCTAATATTATTTCTAAAGATAAATGTTTTGTTTTAAATGTTGTTCTGCTCTGCATAAAAAGTGTTTGATTAATGTAGAATAAAATCTTTATTTTAGTGTCTTTATTGTGTGTTTTTATGCTGAATGTCTGAACAGCCTCTGGATGAAGCTAATCTTGCAGAGCTGAAGGTGGCACTGAATGGTTTCCTCGCAAAGGGAGAAACTATTAAGCTTGAGACCAAGGTAGGAGGGCTTGTTCCAGAGGGTGGGCTTCATTTAATTTTGAAGTGCTAATTTTAAAATTAAGATGACTAGGTTTTTAAAGAGGGTATTCGGGTCAGCATTATGTTTTGTTTTTTCTAAGGTTAGGGTTGCAAAAGAACACGTGCAATAAATTGCTTCTATCAAAGTGATTTCTTATATTTATTATAATACAGAGGTTTAATGTGTGTTTCTCTTCCTCCTCCTCTCAGTCTGATCCCTCTATTCTTGGGGGCATGATCGTGAGCATTGGTGATAAGTATGTGGACATGTCTACCAAGACAAAGATCCAGAAGCTCACCAAGCTGATCAGGGAGACCTAAGTCCTATGGACTGTCCAGACCTACTCTAATAAGATTCAGGAGTTGAAGAAAGAGCGTCCTCTCTGCTATTGTGTAGTTGAATGATCTTGTCCAGTTGTGTTCCAAATAAATATTATGTAACATTTAAGCTGTATGGTATTATTATTATTTTTTTTCTGAGGGGTTTAGTATGATATTAAATATCAAATTATATTTACAGTGTGTATTTAGTGAAAATGTAACTTGGAAGAATTGCTAATCTTTTAAATCTTACTGCATTTCCGATTGAGGAAAACGCTGCCACAATACCTAAACTAAAGTGTATGACTGCTAATGCATTAAATTGTAATTTTGCTCTAAATGAGTGGGGGGAAACATTGTTGAAGGTAAAATACTAAAGACTGAGTTTTTCTCAAATAAATGCTGTCTTTGGAAATTTTTAATCAAAGAGTCCTGTAAAACTATCATAGTTTACATATTTACCAGTAGATCCATTTTCATTCAGCATATCACAATGATTTCTGAAGGATTGTGACACTGCAAATTGGAGTAATGACTAATAAAATAAACAAAATGAAATTAATTATTCTGCCTTGATCCGTTAAACATAGAGCCAGTTAAAACTTGTGCAGTTTCAGCCTGATGTGTGCTATGTTTTATAAAGCAGATTTTAAAATCATTGGTTTAAAGCCTATTCACTCAGCAATTTCAAAGCTGGGTTTTCAAATATTTAATTCTTTCACTTATTACAAAGTTTATAGGTGTCTTTTTAAACGGATCTTTATCTAAAATATATCTTGTATCTTTAATATTCACTATTCTTTGAATTATGTTCATGAAGGTAAGACTCCTGACTTAAATTGCTTTCACTGTCATACCCAGCATTATCTGATGGTCAATGTGTTCACAATAAACACAAGAGGGCACTAGCAACGCACAATTTGTACATGGAATTTTGTCAGTAGACAAATGGTACTGGTCATTAGGGGTAAAGATTGTTTTTGTTCTCAATCTCCTTTGCCATGTGCTTCACTACAGCCACACGTGACAGAATGCCGTTCCAAACCTGTATGAACACACAAAAAGATATTTTAAAGAATGTTGGCAATCAAACAGTTGACGGTAGCCATTGAAAAATACTATGGAAGTCAATGGCTCACGTCAACTGTCTGGTTTCCAACATTCTTTAAAATATCTTCTTTTGTGTTTCTCAACAGTCATACAGGTTTGGAACCTATGAGGGTGAGTAAATGATGACATTTTAATTTAACTATCCCTTTAACTCAATTTAAAAAAAAAAAAAATTAAATCTAGTGTTTTGCACGTTTCTGTGATGGGTAAGTTTAGGGGTAAGGGGTGGGTTAGGCCATAAAAACATCATTAACCTGATATAAAATCAATGGAAGTCTATGCAATGTCCTTACTAATATAGGGAATCGATTTTTTTTTTTTATATATATATATATATATGGACATAACAACAGTATTGGACAAACCAGATACATTGTTTTTTAGTGTTGTAGCAAAACTGCTAATTTACAACACTTGTCCATAGGAGGCTACAGATTTCACAAAACACAACACAGTACAATATACAAAACACAGTACAAAACACAGTACACAGTAAAATATTTAAGAAGGTAAACAATACACATCATCACTATGCATTTCATACAGCATTACCATGTGTGCAGCTTTGACTTGACCTCAGCCATTGTTTCAGAACTTTGCCAAAGCTGATCATGTCTGTCTGCAGTTTTAATTCAGTGGGCAGAGAGTTCCATAGTCTCGATAAGACTATATAGTTTGTAATGCGGCTGCCATCTTTACTGGGATTATGGGGAACATGAGGCAGAACGATGGATTGGGATGCTACTCTATGATGATACTATACTGAAAACAAAAGCACGTATAATAGCAGGCTGATTCAAACAAGGTAGGCTACAAGTTACAAAAGGTCATCTACCAAATGTATCTGTCAGACAGTCTCTCTCTATTCATCCATCCATGTTTTCAGTTGATGGTCATTGCTGCTCTACATCTCACATTAAAAGCTATTTATGGTGTAACGATGCCTATGTAAACTAAGCGCTGTTATCACTAAATGCAGCACTGATGGTCAGCCGCTGTAAAATGTGACAACTTGGTGCGAGAAATGTAAACAGACGACATCCTGGAAGATACCAAAGAATAGGGGTAAAGCTAACAAAGAATATAGCTGTCTAATAAATACCGTGTTTTTGAGCAACACTAAAACGGATACCAAAATTAATATTATGTTTAATATCTAATGTGTATGGATATGAACACAAAATAAACCAAGAGTGCAATAAAAGCTTAAAATAATGTATTGCAAACACCCCTCTTGTCATCGCCATATGGTTTGTTCCCCTCCGCCCATCAGGAAGTGTACGCAAATGAACTGTTTGTTTGGTGGAAATCAGCTGAACGATCCAATTCTAGGCTAGCTGATTGAAGCTTTGAATATTAGTGTACCGTACCTGTCCTCTCTTACTCTCGCTTTTTACTGTTTCCAAACTGTCGATTTATCGTTATTTGGCGCGAGACCCTGTGATCTGTCGACCATCCTATTTTGCTGCAGTGGGTGAGTCATTCAGTTCTTACAATAGCATGACATGTCTTAATGGATGTAATAAAATATTCATGGTGAGTTTATTGTAAACCATCACTATAGGTACCTCTGTAATCATGACTTTAGTTCAAATAGAGGATAGCTTTCATATGTATAATGCTGGTTGTCCTAACAGTAGGTGAGACAAATATAGTTAAAAAATATTATTTATTTATTTATTCATTCTTTCATTCATTAATTCATTCATTAATTCATTCATTTTATTATTTTATTATTTTTATTAAAATGCATTTTCACTATGTAAAATGTGGATTGTAAATGGACAGTAATTAACGGTCAAACCATGAGGTTATACTCTTTAGGATGAAAATGCACAGAATGGATATGATGTTCAGTGTGCCAGAAAGTCAATGGATGTAACAAGGACAGATTTGAGTTACATAACATGGTCTCTGTTTGTTGTGTTGCTGTGCCTCACTGCTGCTTGAATGAATCTGTTGCTCAAACATTGTGAAAGGGGTATATCAGAAATCCAGCTTCCATGACCGCTGAAATGAAGGTCTATGTATTTATCACATACACACATATATCCATTTGCAGTACATTTCTCCGGCACCCAGTGCACTGGTTTCTCTGGTATGCTGCTAAGAGAAGCACTATTAATGGCCAGATCAATAGACCAATATTATTATGTGCAACCTTGTAGACTAAAAACATGGCCTAGGGAGAGCTGACTTTGTATATGCTTTGTAGAGTGGCTGACAAATCAATCCTTTAGAAAATGGAGATTGTACACAATATATGGTGCATAAACTGAGTACTGTAATCTGGAAATAAAAAGTATAGATGACATTTGTACAATTAAAACATCTGGGGCAGAATATTTTATTTATTTATTTTTTATAATTTCCTTTTAAAAGGAAATTAATACTTTTATCCAGCAAGGAGGCATTAAACTGATCAAATGACAAAAAATACATTTATAATGTTACAGGAGATTTCTATTTCAAATAAATATTGTTCTTTTAAACTTTCTATTAATAACACTATTCATCAAAGAATCCTGAAAAAAATATATTATGGTTTCCACAAAAATGTTGAGCAGCACAACTGTTTGCAACATTGAAAATAATAAGAAATGATACTTGAGCACCAAATCATATTAGAATGATTTCTGAAGGATCATGTAAAGACTGCAGTAATTATGCTCAATATTCAGCTTGGCCATTACAGGAAAAAAAATACATTTTAAAATAGAAAGTGGTTATGTTAAATTATTATAATATTTTACAATACTACCATTTTACTGTATTTTTTAACCAAACAAATGCAGCCTTGGTCAGCATAAGACACTTCAAAAACTTTTTTTTTTTTAATTCATACCTACCCCAAACTTTTAAACAGTAGTGTACTGTACATGCACAGGAATATCCTGATTTTATTTCAGAATTTAGAACCACAACACGTTAACCTGATTTCTGTAAGCCCATGTTTAAGCCAATGTTCCATTTTCTAAAAAATCTGAATAAGATAACTGTCATGTCATATGTTTTAATCAGTCATATGTAAACACCTTATGTACACTATGTGAACAGAACACCCTATAAGCACTAAACATTCAAATCTACTCATTTTCAATCAAAGGTAATTCTAGTTTACTAGTTTATTTATCACTAAAATAAACTACTATAAGGAACTCTTTACCTTATCATGCTCTTGTATTATATTTTTTAGGACATTAGTCAGAATTCATTCATTGGGTTAAATGAGTTACTGACCAAAATGACTAAAATGGCAATATTGAGCATCTCCAGTATTTACAGGAGAAAACACAGCAAAATAATGTACATATCTTCATTTACTTATTCACAATATGTTGATTACATGTACACAGGAATATTCCAACAGTTGCGGAAAAATAAACCTCTTCATTTTCAGGCAAGCAGTGTAAAAGATGTAGAAAATAACCACCCTCATAATTTTAAAGGCTTCATGATGCTTCCTTGGGACTTTTTTTTAATGAGCTGCTGTTGTAATGACTGTAAGCTGCTGATGATATTAAGAACATAAGCTAGGATAATTGTGTGAGTGTTTGTGTTTGCTATGCTGGCTTTATGCCTCCCCCTGCCAGACACTGAATCTATTTAATGTGTGAATAAAAGTGTACACTATAAACATTTTTTTGTAATTTTTACAGAAAAAAATGTTAATTGGTTAACTGTAAGTTACCACATAAGGTGAAAAAGTGTAAATGTTAACATCATATTATATGTAATTTTCTTGTATCTATCATACTGTAAAAGTTATGGTTTTTGCCACTAAAAACTATGAAATACCATATAATTTACAGAAAAACAGTAAAAGAATATTCCCAGAATTCCCTGCATTACACATCACATATGATTACATTTTTTATACATAATTTTGTTTCCTCTTATTTTTGTTATCAGTAATGCACACATTAGTGTTTTTTGTGTAAATTTTTTTGTTGTTTAGTTAGTTTATTGCATATTAGTGTCATGTGTGTTACCCTGATGGTGTTTTGTCTTTGTATG